TGTATTCTGCTTCAACATGTCAAAATCTGTGGCACTTGCAATATTTTCTGGTTGCCAGAGAGTGGCTTGGTGCTGCGTTCTCTCTATTTTAGAGACTAGAGTTTGCAACTTTTGGCGGCACGAAGTTGACAGAAACTGGTGTTGTGTTTCTCGCTTTATTTTTATTTCTTCTTGTTCTCTTCTTCGACTCTTCGGATTACGATCGAGGATAACCTCCCATCAGATTTCATCCTCAATGTCTGCAAGCTTTCGTTCAAGTTGACGGATCTCTCGCCGTTTCTCCTCCCGGATAGGCTCGGGCATGTATCTCCTTAGGGTTCAACCCTCTTTCTCAACTGGGCCAGTTTTGGCCAAGCCAGTTCAGCTTTTGGAGGAAATCCCCTGTGTTACTTTGGCTTGCTCACCAAAACATATCAATTACCATTATCATTACATGAATTATTATATCATCCCAAAAAATGCATTCGAGAAGAAGCTTGCTCTTTCTTCATTAGGTTTGATACATCATCTCTTAATTCGATCTATGAAAATTTGATTTACATGTTGAAAAAGCTGGCAAAAATCCACCGCATCTTCTCTTCTTCCTCTCCGACTCTAGCCTCCATGGCTGGCCTTCCCATGGAAATCGGAATGAAATTCAAATGGAAAGTGAATTTTCTCCTTTTTAAACCTAATGACTTCATTTTCTATAGGTCAAGTTTGTCATGTAATTTTGTTTTCATGATGAGATCATTTTGGATATCTTGCTTGTCATATTAAGTGGAATATGGGAAAATGGTATTTTGGTCATTTGCATAATAAATATCATATGAAATATTAGAAAAACTCATAAAATCATAATAAATTTTGTAAATCTTAAATAGATAGCATCGGTATTTCATTAAGCTTTAGCCCACTAGATAATATCAAACAAAATGAAAAGTGTAATTACTTGTTTTAAAAAAAGAATAAAATAAAATAGAAAGGGGGAGATGAAGGGAGAGTTGAAGGATGTGGTTTATGGAGAGAGTGCATACAAGAGAGGAATTTGGTGGGAGTGGGAGTCAGGAAGAGAGTGAGTAGAGGAACAAGAGAGAGAGAGATCGAGCGAGTCAATGCTAGAGAAGGAAAGTGATGCGAAGAGGAAGGGAAAGCAAGGGAGACCGAGCAAGAACAATGAAGTAGCCACAAGTTAAAGAGCAAGTGAATGATTGAGCATGGGCATAGTACGGGAATCTAAATTAAAACTTTTCTTTTCGCGTAATTTTTCTTCAAATTAAAAGTAAAATTTTACTAAATTTTCAACTACAGATCGATAAACTTAGTTTCATTCTTTAATCTATAAATTATTTTTGTCAAGACATTTGCTTGTGAAGTAGAAGAAAGTTAGGACTTTTGAATTTTTATTTTGATATATTTTGTGTTAGTAGAATAATTTAAAAATTTGTCCGGCCATTCTTGTTGTGACATTCTAAGCTCTCCGGTTCAATTGTGATAAAGATGCTTAAAATAATCATAATAAAATAAAGCCAATATTTTTGTTTAATGAAAATAATAATAAATAGTTTAAAATAATGATGCACCTTTTATGATTGTTATAACTTAAAAATAATCACACCCTAGTAATAAATATGTATTGGTCAATGTAGGCTTTTAGTGGATCTTACACTTGTCTCATACATCAATAGCATTTACAATTGAGCCCTCATCTTTGCCTTCTCTAATCACCCAAGTGGCCTGTTGTGTTGAAGTCCCTCCATTTAATTGAAGATTGATCTTCCTTGATTAATCTTTTACAAGTAATTGGTAATGTTCGCTGGGCTTGGCCTCTTGATTTTTTTTTCACTTGTGCTGATCATATCTCTGTGTTTTGTACGTGCGTAATATAAAAAAAGTTAAGATAATCATAGCCAATCATCTCTTAATTGGCTAGATTTCTCGCATGCGACAAAAATGTAAAATAATTGGAACCATCTTCTAAATTCCAAATGTCATTGAAATTAGATCCCTTCAATTCCTGACAATGCCAAAGATTTTCACACCAACCTAGACTTCCTAAACCTTTATAAATTAATCTTGATAGAAATATGATTACCAAATTAATAATTATTATTTAAATTCATAAAATTCAGTAAGTTAACCAAAAAATTCTCAAAAAATAGAAAACTCAGCCCTAATCATGAAATCAATTCTAATTTAACGAATTCTTAGTAAATATGCTGCAGTTGTGTCTTTCAGTTCAAAATCCTTGTATTTGAAGGTGACTCAAGAATAATTTTATTTAATCTCCAATCTTTCAAAGTTGATCCATAGACAGGAATAAATGTTCATTTAGTAAAGATTGTTGATTTGAACCAAACATCTTATTGCTCATCTCAGAAAGATAAGAAAAAATGGCTCGCTAGGCTTTTAACATTGAGAAAGAATCTTCCTTGTTCCCCTATTTTATCCTTATACCTAGAGACAAGTAAATGGAACCTTAGCTATCTTTAAACCAACCAGAGAAGAGGTTTGTGTAATATAGAACAGTCCAAACAACTTTCAATTTTTCAAATGATGCAGGATTGGGAATAAGAAGGCCCGTTCCTCATTTGGATAAATGATGTGCCCTATGGATTGATGAGCTTTAACAGTGAGGGAATCGTAGCCATTGGAGATCTTATTATCTTGAAAACATGAAAAAAAAAAATCTATATTCGTTGGAGGAAGTAAACTAGCCTACAATTTCTCTCTTAATAATTTCTGAAAGAGTAGCATCATTCATGTAGGCAAAGACCCATGTTGCAAACAAAGCAGGAAGCTTTTATGATTAAGTCATTGTTAAACGGATTCATTATTTATACTCACAGAAATATTTTTAAGATCAATCTTGACACAAAGATCCATCAGTATTCATGAAATTGAAACTTTTTGTGGGCTCAAAGGCTATTAGAAATGTTGTCCGCATTATCTCTGTTTTGGATGAAATCCGTCTAAGCAGTGGATGATTAATGGGAACATGTTTGAGAGTCAAAGATTTCTCAAGTTCTTGCACCTCATGTATAGAAAAAATGTGTGTAAAAGACAGAAATTTGCTTTCACATTCAAAGTTCTCGATTTTAAAAACCAGCAGTCTTTTTTTCCTTAGGAAAACTCTATCCAGCTAATAATCTTCTTTTGGCCACACGTGATTTTTCTGTTCCCTTCTGATCCTCACTTACTCAGAGCTGAAGTGGCCATGCTTCCAAGTAATTACATGCCATCCGTGGAGTTTGCATATGAATGAAAAATTATTTAAACATCAATTATTGTTGCATTTAATGATATCCATGCATTGTTTTCCATGTGGGGGTTGTCATTGATGACAACCAAACATTGCATGTGGGGCGATGACAGATTTTTTTATACCTGATTGGTGATGTAACCAAGTGTAGAAATACTATATTATGATGTCTCTGAACAGTACTTGAGTTGTATCTTTGTGGAGGCGACTGGCCAACGCTGGTTGTTGTCAGCACATAGGGAAGATGTTAGCGAAAGGCAATCCACTGCGCATCTATTCCATGGAAAAGGTAGGTAGCGACTGTCTTCTTGAGGAATGTTAGCATAATACAGCTGTGAGTGGCAGGAGAGAAGGACAATCTCATAGATGATTAGGAGAGAAGGACATCCAATACATGATTTTTTTTGGCCTGGAAGTATGGTTTAAATAGATAGAAAGGTTCTTATTAAAGCTTGATGTGAAAGTTAGAATATGAAGTTTTGGCTGCTTTGTGTATTTTATGTGGACGCAAATTACTGTGCAGCTGTGCTTAGAAATAGGATTTATTGTGTTGACTGAATAAGGTTTTGAAATAATAGTAAGCAAATTCATTAATGACTGTAATCGAGCAGAGACATGAAATAATCTGATGAATTATTTTCAAAGCGTCCGCATGTTTGGAAATCTAGTCATGGGAGGTCACGTCAGTGCAAATTCACGTGTATGATGATGTGGCCTTCTGTGATTAGACGTGTGGACGGCTGGATGTAATGTTTTCTCGTATTTGAGGCATTAAGGAAGTTTGATGAGCCAAGAGGGAAGGGAATTTTAGAGCAGGGGCAAATGATCGGAATATTTTCTTGCATATGTTCATAGGCAAATATCAGGAGATAAAAAATGGTGAATATTGAATATTTGGAGATAACGGTTGGTTGATTTAATCATTCTTGTGATGTGAGGAAAGATTAGGTGATTGTGTGGACATAAATAAGATGTTGGTGGCTGATAGAAGTCAGTTGTTAATATGCATCGGGTGACAATCTATGGAAAACATAAGAGGCTGGGTGATTGTTGGTGATTTTGTTCATAATTTTTAACTGAATTAAATCAAGTTTATCTAGCTCTCGGATCATCACAAATAATCTTGTGCAACGCTTGAGGTCGAAGAAATTTTTATTAAATAATTGCAAAGGACCTGAAAGGCAAGTTACAGTATAATAAGTCCAAGAAAAATTTCCCAGGAAAGGAGAGGCATTGCCCTGACCGACATTATTCATTCTGCAAATTGGATATCCTACTATCCTTGGAACGTGAAAATTATTTTACCTTAGGTTATTAGTTGAGGGCTTTAATCTTTTGATTAAGATATCCTAGATTTACAAATTTGGGTATATGATGTGAGTGTTTGTAATTAAATTTGTTCAGATTTCTCAAAAAAAATATATATATAATGATAATAATAAAAGAAAGCTATTTACTCGCCACTTTTATTACCTTTGGGAAAATTTTAGTTTTTGAAAATGGCTATTGTCGTTATTGCTCCATCTATCGCATAAATAAATTTTAGAGTAATTAAATATATTTTATTTCAAATTTATTTATGGATAAAATAAATAAACAAAATTTATTACAAATAATCCCTAAGAGAATTAAGGAAGTTCACACGCCCCACCATTATAACTAAATTTGTAGAAAATAAGTGATATATCTACTTCTAATTAAGCCTTTTATCTCATTGTATCAATCAATTTACTCAAAACTCTCAATTTCACTGATCAAGCATGGCAGTGAGTTTGCGAAGAGAGTACGGGGGGTTCTGCCGAATTGAACGCCTCAACGTCTAGAGGGTAGTGTTGCCTTGCTCACACAGATTTTAGAACCTGAGAGCACGACAGTCAGCGCACGGAGGAGACTGTGGCAGTGCCGAGATCAGCAACATCACAACATCCAGTTCATATTCATAACCCAAGAGCTTGACATTACGGTGCCCGGATGGGAGCGTTGCATCGCCATTATCGCGGCACCAGTAATCGATTGTATGCAATTTTCTCTTAAAGTCTCAGCTTATCTGCGGGAATGGTTCATGAAAAAGGATTGAATTTAGAGTTTTCTCGTTCGAATAAGAGGAGTATCTTGAAGTGTTCTAAACTTATGAGGGGCTTGAGTGTGGTATACTTGTATAATTCGTCTCATTTTCTCCGCAGTAGATTTTTTAGAGTCCCGTGACACTTTGTGATTTTTCACATTCTCGGATTGAATCCGTTTCACTTCTCTTCCAACACCTTCTCTAAGAGCCCATTTGTTCTACAGTGAATAAAGAAAATACTTTTGAATTGTTATTTCACTTCTCTTCCAACACCTTCTCTAAGAGCCCATTTGCTCTACAGTGAATAAAGAAAATACTTTTGAATTGTTAGATTTCAGAAGGTCTAATATAAGTTTGCCCTCTGCTCTGTTCGCTGCTGCTGCTGCTGCAGCTGCAAAGCAACAAGCCTCAGCTCGTTCGAGTGCAATAATAGCATCGACTGCTGTGGGGCTTAGGCTCATCATGCATGTGGCATGCAGGGAATGAGCTGCTCCGATCAATTGGGATCTTGTTCGCAGTTTTGGCTTTTTGTTTTTCTTTTAGAAAACTGGTGGACCAAAGGCAATTATATTAAAGCAATAAAACCATTGCACGGGTCTTCATAAAAAGAAAGTGGCATTTGCATGCATACCCTTTTACATAACTAGTGCCTAAACTTGCATATTTACATACATAGCCCTCAAAACTTTAATATCACATCCACAACACCACTATAATCTACTTTTAAAAATGAAATATATCTTCTCATGCATAAGTTTATGACATCAAAGTATTATAAATATAAATATAAAATTTTAGATTATATATATATATATATGTAAATAGATGTACATTGTGGGGATATGTGAGATATATGTACCATAAGTAAATATATGAGAGTGATATATAATAATTTTTTAAAAGAAGAAAGAAGCTATTCGACGAAAAAGTCGGGCCATAGGCCACTGCATTAAATAAAGAGTAGAAGAGTTTGAAAGTCATTGCTCCACTATTCTAAATTTACCCATCGCCTTTCTACTGGTTTCATTATAAAAAGTTAGATAAAACAAAATTACGAAAATAACACTGCTGAACTTTCTAAGTTCATACCAAGCACGCCATGGACTCCCAAAAGCTCGAAAGCATAGAGCATGAATTTATGCATGATTCTGTTCGCTAAACAGCTGCATTACAGTGCAGGTTCACTGTAGACCATGCATTCCACTATATATATAAATACATACATACATACATACATATATAAATACATACATACATATATACATATATACATACATACACATATACATACATACACATATATATAGATATATATATATGAAAAAAATGGGGTTCGGTGTGCATGTGATGGGGAAGGCACGCACGTACTTTGCCATGTTACGAATGTTTCTTTGCTGAGCTAAGAGGGCCAATGAAATATTGGTTGTATGCGTAGGTTGCCTATGTTAGATATATAGCTCTTATCTATTTCCAGCAGAGGAATTGACACACCCATTGAAGTATTTTGGCTGTGTACATGCAATGTCTGCTACCTTCTGTGGCATCTATATTTATATAGAGCTTGCCCGGCCTTTTGACAAGTCTTTTTTGTTAGCGTACATATTAGATTGCTAGCTAGATGCAGTACAAGCTTTTGCATTTAGCCGCTTGGCAAAATAAGGAGTTCTTCTTTCATGCTTCTATTTTTGAGAAAAATATGTAGTTTTTGGCCTTCTTATTTAAATTTGATGTTTTTGATAAAATGAGGAAGTTTTTCTTTATAGTTTATGGGTATTATTTTCAATAGATATGAAGTTTTAAGTAAGGGCTGAATTCATCCTGAAATTTGTGATTTCTCTATTTAAATAGATATTTGATGATTTTGTCCACCTAAAAAGAATATTGATTTTTTAGGATTTGTTATCTTTGATGGGCTCATGATTCCCGAAGAAAAAGACAAAAATAAAAGTAAGACTAAAAATTAGTCGACCCCAAAAAGTTACTTCATACTATTCCACTTGTTCTAAATTCTTATGAGGATTATAAATTTGATATATGGTCCTTTAAAATGAGGAAAAAAATATTACGTCAGAAAAGGGTAGGTGCATATACGTGCGAACTTGTTGGCATTGTGATGCTATTAACCACAATATCACCACAATATCACCACAACACTATCACAAATCTACACATACGTTATCAGCACATAATAAGACATTTGTTTTATTTTTATCCAGAAAAAAAAAAGGTGTTGCGTCCAAAAATATTCTTAACTGAAATGGACATAAACTCATTCCCATAAAATAGCTATATATTGCAAAATCTTATCGCCATTTTATGTCAAGTCATTGTTCATGGAAGATAAAATGGCGATGTCATGAAAATCGACAAATGTCAAGAGGCAGCAGCTAAATAGTCCATTTCTCACATTCAATTGCATGAGTCCGGTAAAAGTCTAAAGTCGCTTGCAAATCAAAATCAATATTTTAAGAATCGTGAAATGTCATTTTCTAACACATTGTAGTAACTCACCTCCACAAAAAAATCATTAACTCAATATTATAGCTGATTGTAATTAGTAATCACTTGCATGATAGAGCCAGGCAGTAATTTTGAGTTCTAACATTCTTATTGTAATAATTGTAATTAAAAATATTCACAATTACAGACATACCGATCAAATCTTTAACACAAATCAAAAATATATTCATCAGTCTTTCTAAAAGTGAAATATAAATTTTCATACATAAATTTATGATACAAATTAAGAAGTGTAATTATGAAAATTTGAGCGTTTTATTTGTAAATACATAAAAAACGTGAGGTATGTATGTAAATTTCTCAAAAAATATTAAAGGAAAGCAACTGATATATTAACAATAGTTAGCAATTCTAAACACCAACACTTATGTGGATTGAGAAACATATTGTCCCAAATACACCTGCTTAGATTTTGTTTGAGATACTGTTCCGCCTCTGTTGTGCTCCATAAAACAAAACGTCGTGCGAACGCCCGACCGCTTGTTTGGTGGTTCACCGTCTCCGAAAGCACTTTAGTGCGAACGAGATTTTTCTTATCACGATCGAGGAGCTCAGTTCCACAGTTCGGATTCAGGTCTCTTCGTTCCAATATCAAAATCGTCTCTTTAGGACTTTTCAACGAAATTTCTGCAATGAAATGGCCAGTTTTGGAGCAGGAAATATAATAAATCAACGCTCTAGATTAATTTATGCATTTGTGATGAACGGTCTAGATATCGTCGGACATTGCACGTCCATCCCTTCAAGTCCATCCATCATTTGAATTCTAAACGTGCGAGCACTCAATTACAAATCATTCCCGTTTCTTTAAAGTTTGAAACCAGCAGTGGAACCGTTACCCTAATCCTATCAGTCCATCACATACATGCCAATCAACATATATAATTAATCAAATCATTAAAAGGACAAAATAATTGTAAAGAAAAAAAAAAAAAAAAGGCAGAACTCGTCTCCAGTCACTCCCACCAACTCTCTGCTCCCCTCAAAGTCCACGTTAAAATGTCACATCTAAATAGCTACACAGGGCGCAACACAAACATTGGAAGCGAATCCACGCATTTCCGAATCCTTACAAACGAAACGAAACACCGACGAGACAGCAAACCCCGAACGTAATTTATTATTAGCTTCGCCTCGCACAACACTAATCCCCGGCTTATTATTTTCCTCTTACCGACAAATAGAGCTGTCTAACTTTTTGACTTTTAGGTCTGTTATCTTAATTCTTTTTTAATAAAATTTGAACTTCATCAATAATTTTTGACACGAAATTACATCAGAATTTTAATCACAATATATATCATTAAGTATAAAAGTTCTACCCCATTGAATAAAAGAACTAAACAGTTTAATGCAGGACAAAATAGACCCTACATGTGGCACATTATGATTAGACTCTTGATATAATTTTTTTTTCCATCATCTCATGTGGAAGGTGATAATATTATTATTTTGAAGTATTGGACAAATAAATATATCAAAAGAGGTACAATAACTAAATTAGCTAAAAAGTGGAATAATAAATGCACTTTAAAATTGAGTATAAAATAAATAAAATATCCCAAAAAAATAAAGATATGAAAAATTATATTGTTTACTGTCATGCATCCAAATGGAATGGTAGATATGCTTTAAAATCTGTGTGAGATGCCGTTGAGGTATCATATTCTCGTGACCATTTTCACGAAGCTTAGGCTCACAGTCGGTGACCCGAACTTGGAACCAGCCCTAATAATATGCGGTTTGAGGAATGTCGGGTCACAGATCCAGCGCGCAGCTTCACATTCTGCTCTTATTCGGAATAACTCCTGTTGTAGCCGAACAGCGGATCACCCGCAGGAGATTCACTTATTAAAATACTCATTATGTTTTCCATAATTCACGATAGTGCCATCCCAATAAACATTTATTTTAAGTCAGTTAATCTGGATATAATAAATTGTATTATAATAAATAGAGCCTAAAGCCAGCTCCGCTCGCTTCTGCGTCCGCTGCTTTTAGCCTAAGGGGTTAAAAGCGTTCAGCGATGGTCGCGGTGGGAGAGCGGGTCCCATTGAAAATGGACCGTTGAGATCATCTAAATCTAATTTTATATAAAACATTCAAAGCGGGAAAAAAAAAGGAAGTTAAACTAAAATAAATAGAATAAAGTGAAAAAAGAAACATAAAAAAGATATTTACATAGCAACCACCATTCTTGAGTATTTAATTTTAATCATCTAAATTTTAAATATAACATTTTAGCCACCCAAAATTTTAAATATAATATTTTAATCATCCAAAATTTAATGATTAAAATGATAAATTTAAATTTTGGATGGTTAAAATGAAATATTTAATTTTTTTTTGTTCTGAGAAAAATAATAATAAAACGGCTACGTTACTTTCCGCCGTCAGGATAACAAGCGGAGAAAGCCAGCGAGTTCCCTGCCACATAACGGCCTCCGTCAGTGCCGCCGCTAATACAAATAGAGCATGTCCTCTCTTCCCTGTTTGCGTTTCATCTTCATTTAATCCTCTGCTTTCCAATGGAAGCGTGGAAGAAGCTTTAGCTGTAAGGATAGAGTTAGGGTTTAGAAGCGCATAATGGGATCCGAGAAAAAGGACGACGAGCTTCGAGAGCGGATCGAGGCTGTTCTACGAATTTTGAAGAAACAAACTCCTCTGTCCTTAAAGCAGGTTTGTCATCGTTCATGTTATAGGTTCTTCTTCTTCTTCATCATCTTCTTTTTTGTGAGTTAATAAATTTCGTTTGAACTGTGCGGTGTTCAGGAAAAGTTCTGCAATGATGCTTGCATCGACCGTTTTCTGAAAGCAAAAGGGGAGAATGTGAAGAAGGCGGCAAAGCATCTCAAAGCAGTTATGTCTTGGAGAGAAGCCATTGGAACGGGTATCCTGCTCATTGTTAATTTCATGAACCTTTTTTTTTCTGTTTCAAATGAAACTTTTTTAAGGGAAAATCTTCTTTTTCCATTTAGTAATTTACCAATAAAATGAAAACAGAGCATTTAATAGCGGATGAGTTCTCAGCCGAGCTGGCAGACGGCGTAGCATATGTGTCAGGCAATGACGACGAGGGCCGCCCAGTCTTGGTACTGTCCTATGATTTGTTCTTTACTCTTCACATGTTATTTTTGGTGTTTTCATTTTAATTAATCTTCTCTTCTTCAACAATAAATTCTCTCTAGATTTTCCGCATAAAACAGGATTACTCCAAAGTCCACTCTCAGAAATCGTAAGTTCTATAACATCTCCTCAATCTCTCTTTCTCTCTATTTTTGATGGCGTAAACTTAACTGTAACACTGAAAACTCTTGGCCTTAGATACATTCGGCTGCTGGTATTCACGCTGGAAGTTGCCATCTCCACCATGCCGAGATTTGTAGACCAGTTCATTCTCATCTTTGATGCCAGTAAGCAACTGCTAAAACATTCCATTTTATTATAAAAAATTGCATATGAGGAATCGGAGAAATTTTGAAACTTTGAATTAAGTTTTAGACGAAGTACGAGTTAGGCCACCATAGTCAAAAGAAGCATGCAATATTTTTGCAGGCTTTTTCAGGTCGTCGTCGGCTTTTCTCAACCTCTTCATGTGCACGCTGAAGATCGTCGGCGACTACTATCCCGGTCGACTCCACAAAGCCTTTGTCGTCGACCCTCACTCCCTTTTCCACTATCTATGGAAGGTATAATGATCTGCTTGCCATTCAAGTTTCTTGTTTGGTTCTCTGTGCAATTTTTTATTTTTGTTCAAATTAACATCGGGCGGGCTCCTGGTTTTAAGTTAGCTGGACTTGTTATATTTAATATATTCATGTTGTTCTTTCTTGTGCTGCATGTGGCCGTGCAGAGGGCAAGACTTGAGGTCATGATTGTTGATTTCAATATAAAAGTTAATCATTAGAGTCAACAACAAGCGCACTTGTATTAAAAAAATGTATTCAGTAATTATTTCAAAAATATGTTTTATTTTGACTATTTCTTAGGCCTACTTTTAAATAAGTAAAATATTATTCTTTTAATACTTTATTTACATTCTGTTTTGAAACAATATATTGTCTCGTCCATCAATGAAAATTTTCTCATCTAAGTTTTAAAATTGAATGAACATATAAAAGATGATAATGAAAAAAATATATTTTTATTGCGTTGCAGAGTTTTTTTTCTATTAGTTATTGTGTTAATTTAGTATACAAATTGAAATGAGTAACAATGGTATTAGTTATAGTTTTGGTAATTTTTGATGTAATATATTGTTTATAAAAATAATTCTTTAACATGTTGATTACAGCAGTGTGATAAACATTGCCCATTTGTTACAGATGGTAACAGTATTTGTACAGAATGATTACAGTCACAGAGAGCACATACTAGCTCCCCGTTTTTTTATATATTATCTTTTCATGAAATCTATGTAGAATATTTGCTTGCCTCCCCGACTTTGTCAATAAGCATGCAAATGTCAAGACCCAGGCCACTTCTGGCCAAAATAATGGCTGAAAAAAATAAGAATAAACTAAGCCTTTCAAACTGAATTTTTGTCAGCATAACTCAGAATATCTCTTGTGTATGTTTTACCCACTTCGTCAAGGAACAGCTCAATTCACTGTATAAAAACATAAGTAAAATTCTTTTCTTTATAATTTATAACTGAACTCAACATCTAATTTGCAAAAGTTCAACTATTTTTATCTGTTCATGTAAATCCATCCATATTCAATAACAAAACTAGTTTTTTTCAACACGCAGGGAGCTCGTCCCTTCGTAGAATTATGGCCCATGACTGCTGTGGTCTCTTCCCAAGGCTTCGAATCCGCCGCAGAAGACTCCATCTTCACCTCCCAACCCCGCACCACCTCTCTCCGCTTCGACCCCTCTCCGAAGCTCTCAGCTTCGGCCTCCTCCGCTTCCTCCAGATTCTCCTTCACCGTCTCCCAATTCGATTCCTTAAAACCATGGTACCTCAGCATGACCAACACCCGCACCGCCGTAGCTCCAGCAAGCCCCTCCCTAGTCGGCGCAACTCATCTCTCCGCCAGATCCCACTCCTTCGCCTCCCCGGCGGCGAGATCCGCCACTCGCCTAAGCGTCCCTTCTACACCTTCCTCGACGCTGCCGAGGACTCCGAGGCCATCGTTCCTTCAGTCTCCGTCATCCCTACTATTCCCGTTCAAGAAGGAAGGAGCGGCCGGAAACAGAGCGGCGCGGGACAGGGATGCATTTGCTCCGTTCGTAAGATTCTACCGGCGGCCGTATGATGAGATGGTATACCGCGGGAAGATGAAGGCGCCGCTCGGCGGTCTCGTATCCATCGTTTCGCCTAACGTAAAGATGCAACGCCGGCACGGCGGTCAGCACCAAAGGATTTGATTTTAGTTAATAGTTAGTGATAAATGAACTTGTAAGCGCTTGTTTTGTTATTCATCATAAGTCATGTTTATGTAAAATAAACCGAGATTACGCAGCGTAATTGCGAGGTTATGCCAATAAATTTGAACATCGGGTGAGTGGCGAGCGCGCCGCGTGCCTTGGAAGGCGGAGGACCGACGGCGTGGTTGGGACGTTCGGTGGCTCTCGGCTTTCGGAATTCCATAAATGTTTTTTATTGGAAGACACGGCGTTTGGTCGGTTTCGGTGATGCAAAAGAGGAAAAACAAACACAAATGAACTTAGTTAATTTTAAATTATATGTTTTTTATTTTTTTTATCTTTTATTACTTATTTTATAATTATAGATACGTTTACAGAGTCTGAGTGGCTTGGATGTTGTTGGTTAACGAAATTTGTCATTCCAATATATATATAAATATAATAATAATAATAATAATAAATGAAAAGTATGTTTAATTATATGTAGTTGACCAAGTGGGATTTTGAATTAGCAGCCTTTGATTCAAATATCGGTCAACGGGCAGGCTGTACGTTTGATTTGGTAGATTATATAGTGCGTAGCTAAAAGTGTAATTTTATGGGTTAAGACAGATGAGTCATAGCTTCTTCTAATTATAATAAATAATCTATTAGTATTATAATGATAAAATATGGTTCAAATTTATAATTATAAGAAAATGTCATTTTCCTTTAAACATCAGGTCAATAAATATTTTTAATGAGTGATGGAGCCTTTAGATCCATCTTAAAGATCTTTAAACTCTTTTTTTTTTTTTCCTCGACTCAATTCATGAGCCTATGAAGCTTGATCAACCTAATAAACCTAATTCAATTCAAACTTCTTGAACAGGTATTTTGGTAATGGGGTTTTTACATGCATGCCAACCAAAACTTTAAATATAATATCCTCAGCACCTAGAATTCAAAATTTGCAATTCAACTGCCCAAAATCTCTGTCATTTTAGAAAAAGTCATCCCATGACAAATCAGTCGATTGCATGTCATTATCATACATCATCCGTCTGTATTTCTTGCAAACTTACATTTTCACGATCGGAGCAGAATTTTTGAGGCCCTTCTCTTAAGATGGAGAATGCTTGTAGTACACCAAAAATAGAGAATTATATTGTTTTGTTTTGATTTAAAAAAAATGAATTGCAGAGTTTTCCAACCCCTTTTCTTATGAGCGAGCATTTAGTGAGTGCTTTACTCACATTTTTCTCCCTCTTCCAATTTTTTCAATCGATTTAGAGGGAATTTTTCGTTCTTTTTATGTAAATTTTTAATTTTCAATTCTACCCGTTCTTAAGTAAACCATATCCGATCAAACAACTGGCTTGAGTTACTAAAGATATTATTGAACTGAATCAATAATAAAAAGGCTAATTTTCATTCCAATTGAATCTAATGAGTTTAAAAGATTACTTGAATCATTGAACCAAGCCAATCCTAAGTTCATTAGCTGAAATTTTTCATATTCTTATAGCTGAAGTCGGCTCTATCATAGCCATCTCCCTTCCTAAGCTCACCAGAAAATTCAGCCGAGCAATCATGCAGACTGAAAGTAACCTAGTTCAGCTAGTCAAATTTGAATGGATAACACTAGAGTCCAAGTGGTCGAAAATACAATTCTTATGTTTAATTAGCTTAATTTGATATTAAAACCATTATCATAAAACTTATGAATGTATCAAGTAGTTTAATTAATTTAATTTGATTTCTCTCATTTTATAGAATTTAAAAAATAAATAAAAGTCAAATAAATATATTTAAGCTCTCCGCACTCCTCTCCAACAGCCTCCCTCTCTCGGTTTTAACAACAGTAGGTCTCCACTACAATTTTATTCTAATATATTTACAGGTCCAACCACCCAAGTTCTAGTAAAAAAAGATTAATAAAGATATATATATATATATATATAACATGTTTTATTCTAATATATTTACATGTCCAACCACCCAAGTTCTATTAAAAAAAGATTAATAAAGATATATATATACTTGAAAAGGTTAATCGCTGATCAACCCAAAAGTCTGACCGAGGGGCGGACCCCCTTTCCAGACATGTGTGCAATTCGATCCAATGCGGGGATCGAACCCCTGACCCGAGGGACTTACACTAAAGGCAGCAACCAATGAGCCAGCCAAAGGCTTG